GGGTATGAGTAACAGTAAAACGACACCCACACTTCCAAACGCACACCCACACCCACACCCATACCCACACCCACACCCACACCCACACCCACACCCCACACCCACACCCACACTCACACCCACCCACACCCACACCCGTCTCATTATTTGAATAAAATGATTAAAACGGTGTCTATAATTCTCTTATTCATATAAAAATGTTTTCACCGTATAAACAAACATAAATAAATTTACTTCATTATATTTATTTAATTATATTTGGAAAAAATTCATTATTTCGTGTTGAACATCGTTGAAATTCATTAGAAAAATTATTATTAAATATATTAATGTTTAAAAAAAAAAACATTAATTGATTTTTATAATAAATATATATGTTTACTTGTTATTGATCAATTAGATATTAAATTTGATTTAACATCACCAATAATAACATCAATATTAAATAAAGATGATGGATTTGGTTTAAATTCTTCAATTGAGAAAAATTTTCATGAAAATGTTAAGAAAACAAGAAGAAGCAAGAAAAAATTTAATACTGAAATGCCAATAATAACAATTAAAATTGGTTCAATAATTGATGGAAAACCGATGAAATCAATGAAAATGATGTTAACAAATGTAAATACAGTTGAGAAAGAAATTAAAATGCATTTAGCACGAGCATTAACAACAAGTTCTTTTAATTATTTTATTTCAGTATTCATTTGTACACAAACAGAAGCTAAACTTTATAAAGCTTTTATTTTCTATGCAAATTCAGGTAAGGTAATTATCAAAGAAAAAAATTTTTCAGTTTCATTGTGAAAACATGAAAGTTTCTCAGGTCATTTTATTGTTAATATGATATCAGTGAATGATCTGAAAGTTATTAAAAGATAATATCATCGCGGGGAAGAAATGATGACTTTATAGACATTCACAAATCACATGATCATATAGGGGAAAGTGAATGCTCTTGTCTTAAGACTACTTATATTGATCTAGAGTGATACCGAGACAGTTATGTAAACTCGATATTTTTCCTACTGTAGACAAGCTTCATAAGTGATTATCCATCTTCTTACTAATATCTACACCAAAATTACAAAGGGATGGGTGTAAGCTCAATAACTTAACAATGGCAGTAACTAACGGCATGTGATTTTCAGCAATCGAAAGAGGAGATCTCCGGATGTCTTTTTCTCCGATAATGTATATTTTTATTTTGATATATATGATTTAGATAGAGAGACTTCAGATCTATAGTCCAAGATACAATACAAATGGTTATCTTCTCACATCCTAACGATGAGCAAATGAATTCATGCATTTGCTTCTAAAATAATACAACATTGCGTTGATTTTTAATCAAATTTTCTTACTTTTTTATTAAAATTTCATCGGAACGACAAGCCATTTTCATGCATTCTTTCGAATGTTTTTCGAAGATGATTAGTTTTAAAAGGATTTCGTCTTATATCATTCAAAACTCCTTGAAAATCTCTGAAATTCTTAAAGTTTTTTAACAGTTTTCGTATCTGAAATCTTTGAAAAATAGTGGAACTTGATAGAAGCCCTGAAGGTTTTCATTATGAGAGGATTTACCAATAGAGACGCTATTTGATAACCATTTATGACTTATTATTGACATTCACAGCCGAAAAGAACTATTGTAACACTCAAACAGAAATTTTCAAAAGGTCTTAAGATCGGAGCTGTTAAACTTTTGACCATATACTGAATCTGTTATAACAAATAAGCATACTTTTGAGCATAGGAAGACTATTGTTTCTGATTAAATAAATGCACATTTACTTTCCCTATATAAGGTACCGGAAATGCAAAATTGGAGTGAATTTTTTTTCTCGCTTATATATATATATATGGTTTGATAGAGCTTGAAAAGCTGATCACGAATATATACTTTTTATTTCGATTCGACCACTGTTTGGCTGAGAAAACCTTAGAACACTAGAAGAACTAAGAAAGTACCACTTTTACGTTGAATTTTCTTTTTTCTGTAGAAATTGTCAAATTTGAATTTCACTTATTTTGTGAACTTTTTGAAAATACTATACTCTGAATCAGCATGAGAAACTGAATAGAAAAATGTTATTTGATTAAATGTAAAGCTAATAATGTTAAAAGAATTCTATCCCATATAAAAAGGTCCATCAGACTAAAAGTATGTATAAGTGAGCATTCTTGTAAACCTATCTAGTTTTTGTAACAAGAAATAGAAGCACCTGTCTTATCTTGTTAGAACCGTTAGACCATGGGCTACAAAAGTTATTATTTAGTTTTTTAAAATTTTGTTCTACTGTGGAGAAAATCGAATTTCTTTCCTATTCGGTGGTAACAAGAGGCAAAACATACAAAAATATGTATTTATTTAGCAGTTTTCATTACAATAGTCAAGTCCAAAAGCAAAATGAATAACATATTCATAATCAGCGTACAAAACTGCATTGATTCCAGTATGTTTTATCGAATTTGATTTTTTGCGAACAAGTGGCCCGTGGAGGACCAGGGACAAAATTTTAGAAAAATGGACCTGAGAGGACCACAGGTCGATTTTTCTTGGGAAACAATTTTTGCTAAAATGTATATGGTTCGATGTCATTTTTGACGCTGGTTCCGAATATGCTGTCTGCTTTGCCTTTTGACTGAACCATGATAATAAAAACTGCTAAATGCCAACTCATTTCTCTTCCTTTCGCATCATGTTACGCTCGAACAGGAAAGAAATTCGATTTTCTCAACAGTAGAACAAAATTTTAAAAAACAAAATAATAACTTTTGTAGCCCATGGTCTAACGGTTCTAACAAGATAAGACAGGTGCTTCTATCTCTTGTTACAAAAAACTAGATAGGTTTACAAGAATGCTCACTTATGCATACTTTTAGCCTGATGGACCTTTTTATATGGGATAGAATTCTTTTAACCTTATTAGCTCTACATCTAATCAAATAACATTTTTCTATTCAGTTTCTCATGCTGATTCAGAGTATAGTATTTTCAAAAAGTTCACAAAATAAGTGAAATTCAAATTTGACAATTT